TCACCTGCATCAAGGATATCAATCTGAGCTTACTTCAAAGAACTCTGTGAATGACAGATCGAGTCCTAAGCAACTTTATTCTCCTCAAATTGTTTGTCAACAATTGCCTTTAGTTCTCACTCCAAAGATTCCAACCTCTCATTCTTAGCCTTCTCTTCCGATAGTTGTTTCTCCAGCTTGGCTACCCTTGCTGCATGTGACTCCTATTTCACTTTCATTTGGGCAATCTTACATCTAATATTAACCTGTGTTTGCTTACTATCATCTCCAACTTCAAATAAACCTCGTGTAAGAACAACACACCTCATTAGGTATGAAATGATGTTTTGAGTCAACTTATAATGCCTAATGGCCTTCACCTTGTTCACATCCTCTGTAGCGTTAAAATGGTCATATAGGAATTTTAATCCATCAAAGTTGTTAATCCAGAACTTGAATTTGTTAGACGACCTGGAGTGATCACCTCCTTCGGCTTCATGCATCAAGGAGGAAATCTCCTAGTCAGCCCTGCAGACGCCCTCATTCATCAAAGTTCACATATCTTTGGTAGATCTCGAATAAGTCTCTTTTTGAGGAGATAGGGGTAACAAGAGAGCCAAAGGCGTTTGAAACCTCCTTGCTTGATATCTGTTTCCTTTTCTTCAGAACGCGTGTTTCTAAGTCAGACAAATTCGACTTGGTAACAACTTGTCCGGTCACGCACCTTGCCCCCCAAGCTTCTGACATCAATTTCCTTTGCTCTATCAATGACAAGTTAGTCACTTTTTTTGCGAAAAAGAGAAAAGTGTTAGAGGAAAGAAGAGATTCACCTCGAGAAGAAACAGGTTAAAAGGACAAAAGTTACCCATAAATAAAAAAATAATATGCTTTCTGGAAATTACAACAAACCCTGGGCTTCCATCAGCGGCCTTTTGGGCAAGATCTTTCTTCAAACCTTTACCTCCAACTACAAAGGTTTTAAAGACCGGTTCCTTCGGATTAAATGTGGTTCGAGGTGTCCTCGGATACTATATGCCTTAGATGGATCCAACTACTTCCTATCTATTGGACCAGAAATTCGGTTTTAGTATCTGACTTTAACTTTGATAAATTGAATGATCAGGAGATGTTATTGATAATATTCGTCAACGTTGGGCTCAATTCTTTTTGCAAATAGTTGAAGAACAACATCAACTTGAAGAGAAAGAAACAAGGAATTCGATAAAAGATGGTGTTTTATAAGAATTAGTATTGAATTATTAATTAACATTGTTTTTTAATATAATTGTTTTTGAATTTGGATTTACACTCTTTGGTATAATTTTTTAAATTTAAACCAAAATTTGCGAGTTTAAATTTGATCACTTGAAACAATAATAAAATATTTGTAGGTATCATATGTGACCTCAACTTTATTTAAGTTTAACATTTGTGTTATGAATTTTTTGTCATCCATTTTAGAGAATAATATTTGTTGATAGTTCATTTATAATCAAATCACACTCAATGTCATTTTTAACACAAACTTTAGTAAAGAACATGTGTGATATATACGCTATACAAATATTATAAGAAAATTTTATACACCTAATTTAAGAAAAAAAATAGGTGTGAAGTCTATGACCAGATAACTCATTGGTATGATATATACGTTCTACATCTTTTTTAGGTAAAAATAAGTATCATAAGTTGGTTTCTAGTCAAACTACTCTCCTTAAAATTTAACACCGGTTTTTGGAAAAAGTAGGTACGATTTATAAGTTTTTACACCTCTTTTAAGTAGAAAAAAGGTGTCGAATGTTAGTTTTAACACCAATATGTAGCACTTATAACACCAGTTTATCACCGGTGTTAAATTGACTTACCATACCTTTTTTAAAATCGGTGTCAAAATCATACTTATAATACCGGTAGCAACAACACCGAAAAAAAGCAGGTATTAAATCTCTAAAAAATTGGTGTTAAATCCATTATCTACACTAGTGTACAGAAAAACTAAGAGTTCCATGAGTTGTCAAGTTAAAGAAAGAATAATCAAAACACGATTGTTGGAATCCAAATTTCAACAAAGCAGCAGATAGTTTGGCAAAACAACATCGATGGACTTGCTTCAACATATAGAGATTTGTGCAACTTGCAAACTAACCCAGGTGATGACGTGTGAAAGCCTGGAGGTAATTTTATGTATACATCTTCTTGAAGATAGCCATCGATCAGGGCCGGCCCAATCAATCTGGAGGCCCTGTTTTAATTTAATAAATAGGCCTAAATCTAAAATATATATATAATTTAATAATAAATAACTTTGTTTTGGGTTTCTTTAATGCCGACGTTTCATTTTCCTTGGCGTCTTTTCGGTTTTAGGTTGCGTTTGGAATGAGGAAAAATAATATATATTTTAAATTTTTTTAAATTTTTTCATATTAATTAGATTTCAAAAAAAAAAAAAATAGGCCCCCAAAATTTTGGGGCCCAGTTCCATAGAGCCTGTTGCGCCTGTGAAAGGCCGGCCCTGCCATCGATGAATGCATTATGAATATCTATTTGATTCATTTCCCATTATTTTGTGGCTGCAACAGCAAAAACAAGATGAATTATGACCATTTTGATGACATAAGTGAATGTATCATTATAGTCAATTCCTTCTACTTGATAATTCCCAAGAACAACCTGTATTGCATTGTATATTTCAATGGCGTCGTGTGAGTTACGCTTAATTTTATACACCCACTTGCAACTGAGAGGTTCCTTCTTAACTGACAAAGGTTATAAAATCCATGTGTAATTTTCTTTCAAAGCTTGAAGTTCTTATTTCATTACAAGTCTCTATTTACTATCATGTACGATTTTACAAAAGTAAACGGGTTCGCGTTCAGGAGCAATGAACGTACAATATTTTTGTGAAAGATTGCATGATTTAAACAGTTATTTAGTGAGTAATACACACCTGAAATATGCCTTCAATAAGCTGAAATGTGAGATGATTTAATTTATGTGTAGTATGAGTCACATGATCACACAATCTGACTGAAGCCATCTTGGTGATGTGACCTCTTCCTAAATATTTCACATGCTCATTGTTAATTGATTATGAATTTAGAGGGTTGAGATGAAAATAACTATATTAATCATTAGAACCCATTCATGGCTCATCAATTAACTGATTTTCTAAGTCACCTGCACCCCTTTTGTTAGGATTCATAACAACATGGCTGCTCAATTCACTTGGTCTATCTTAGTTATTTGGCTCACTATCATTATCAACAAACAATGAAGATACTTAAATTTGTTCCACTAGAACAGTAGTCTCCTTCCTGTTTTTATCAATATAAGGTGATCGAGACTCAACAAATGTAGCATCCTGTAATACAAAGTAACATTGACAGTCAAAATCAAACAGTGTCCACCTCTTTTTACCACAAGGATATCCAACAAAAACACACTCTTAATTGAGAACAAGGTTTTTAATGGACCTATGAATATTGAAAGGAAGTCCACTAAAGAAAAAAAAAAACAGAGCAATTTTGTTTAAATATTTATATTTTTATTAAAGGGGTGCAATTAGCATTACCATCTACTTTAACAATTTTATGTTGATTCCAAAAGAGGCCTATGTCCCATTTACGTTTTAAACTCTAACAATTTATAGTGTAAATTTCAAGTGTGTTCTTTAACGAATTTTCTTTTTGAAATTGCCATTATCTTTTTTCCTTTGCAACCTAGGTTTACTTTGTGAACCCTAACATTAATCTATCACAAACCATATTCTTGTAGTGCTTTCTATTTGATTTCACCATATATATATATATATATATATATATATATATATATATATATATATATATATATATATATATATATATATATATATATATATATATATATATATATATATATATATATATATATATATATATATATATATATATATATATATATATATCACGAAAGTAACAACATAGAATAATGAGAAGAGAGGAAGATTGTAGGATAAGAGTTAGATACACATCAAATTGTCGGGAAATTATATTTGATGCTCATTCGTCTCAATTACTCCATTTTCTATCAAGTTACTATGATGATGAATAGTTAAATCCTCCTCTTATATTGGGATTGAGTGTAATCCGTCGAACTGTATGTATATTTATTGATCATAGTATTATATAATTCAATTGTTTATAATTATCAAATATTTTCTTTATTTTACCAATTAAATTCATAGATTAGAATTGTGACACATGCCCCTAGAAGATGCATGCATGCGTCACATCTAGTGGCATGTCTAATAAGCATGTGCCACCATGCATGACACTTATATACAACAAATATGAGCATGTGCCACTCAAAATAACTACTCCTTTTGCCAATTTATTGTTTTATTATTTAAAACTTAGTTAGTTTTGTATATTTATTTGAAACTATAATTATTTTTAAAAAATAATTGAATAAGACGGTTATTTAAAAAAAAAACTATATTACATATCATTCTTAAACTCATCAAAAAAACCAATCCACTTTTACAACTTACTAACACAATCACAACCATCATGGTTTATGCATGTCTTTAAATTATTTATAAATATTTAAATAAATTCTTAAAATGAAAAATATTGTAATTAAATTTCGAATTTTTTAATAAATTAGTTTTATCCATTATAATTTAACTAACCAAATCATGCATCTGAAAAGAAAAAAAAAACAGTTCAGAAACTTTAATACAATTTTTTAATTTAAAAACATATCAATAGCTTAAAAACCTACATAAAAATAGAGAAGTTATGATGTTGGAAAAAAAAAAGAAAGAGTATTATTATCATGAAATAAAAGTAAATGATTTTACTACAATTGAATGGAAGAATTAGTTCCCCCTCCAATAGAGAAGAGAAATTATTTTATTAGCATGTATCATGTATAATTACACCATTTTAATTTATATATTTATACAAGACCAATATATATTTAAATACCAACAAAATTTTCCTAGCTTAAAATAAATTATTACACAAAATGTAAATAATAATTCAATTATGAATCGGTGGCTTTCTTCTAGCTGGAGTATAATCCATTGCAAAAACTTCATCTCCATTATTATGATCTTCTTCTTTAGCCTTAAACTCATGATCTTGTGCTTCTTTATCATGAGAAACACTCACTACATCATTGCTTTTTTCTTTCAATATTCTTGCTGCAAAATATATATAAAAAACATGTTAGCATTTTGAAGAATAAAATATAAAAAATAATTATGATACTCTATAAAATATATACCTCTAGCTTGGATAGAGATGAAGCATAGGAGAAAAAGAATCACTAGTAAGAAACGTTTGTTTTGTGTAATAGCCATGTTAAATAATTAGAATTGTGTTTGTGTTGTATATAACATAATATCTTGATTTTGAAGCTTTATATAGAAAAATATTAGTAGTTTCTTGTAGCTATGAATATGAAAAATTAGTATTATGAGTGTCAACATCAATGTCTCCTATTTGTCTGCCTAGAAAGGATGGGTATGTCCCTTTAGGGAGTGACTTAAACAAGAAAAACCATATTCCATGAATGTCAACTTCTATTATATAGTACTATTTGGGCCAATTTCAATTCAAAGTTTTCTTTTCAATTTCATTTTGTTTTATATATTTTAATAATGTTCACTAAGTAAATGTTTCACTTAAACTTAATTAACAATAAGTAGACAGTGTCTACCCTACATATTATAATTTGTTAAACTTTGATATAGGTGGAGTGAGTTTTGCAAGTACTTCTCCCTTTAATTGCTATCAAGATTTGCTATAAGTTCGTTGAATAGAACTATTATCGAGATTGTCGAAATCATGATATAGTTCTTTTTATATTTGACAAAAATAATATTAAGAGTTTGATTTTATTGTTTGTTGGTTAAAATTTAAGTAAGATTCGTTTCAAAATATATCAATTCAGAATATATATTAAGATCGAGAGAATGTAAATATTTATACATTATTTTAAATCGATAATAGAAGTTGAACCTATATATCTTTTAGAATATAAATCAATTATTTTATTAGGTGAGTCACCCTTCTTTTATAAAAATTTCTAAGATGATTCTTATGTCACTAGCCAAAAACAACACTAGAATGAGGTCAAGTCTTTAAAATCAATAAATAATTTTACTTTTTAATATTTTAATTCACATGAGATATGAGTTGTAATATCAAATAAACACACAACCCGTCCAATAATGTGAACTTAAGATAAATATTAAAATGGTTTTTTTTTCATCTGCCATAATTTATATATTTTAGTTTTAGAAGATTTTTAAGATATTTTAATGATTAGAATTTTAGAATGTATTGCCAAACTAATGCTAAAGTTGACAGATAGATATTTAAGTTTTTTTAAATCAAAGTTGAATTATTTCTCAAATAACCAACTTCAAAAATCAAATAAAAAATTTCTTTTTTATGACGAGTTTTAACAAAACTCTCGTACTATATTATGTTGGTTAAATTAAAATCTCTAAAGAAATTTTTTATATAGGAGTAACATAAAAAAATATTAATTTACAAAATTAAAATTATAAATTAATATAATTTTATGTTTTAACTTTTATATAAAGTAAGAATTAAAAATTATTAAAAATGCTAATGTATATAATTTTAAAACTAAATATTAAGTAAGTATTATAATTATATAGATACTAATTATTTTTTAATTCAATAATAATTTATATATTTAAATTACTCTCTAATTAATAGGGTAATATTTTTTTCCTCGTTAATATATATATATATATATATATATATATATATATATATATATATATATATATATATATATATATATATATATATATATATATATATATATATATATATATATATATATATAAATAAAATAGAAGAACTAAAAAATTCATTAGCTTTAATAAAATAAGAAAAGGAGAGTGGTGGTAATCGATTCGGTTTGAATCGTTTTTTTGTTATAAAAAAAAAGTTTGAATAGTTGTTATCTTTATTAAAAATGAAACTAAATCAAACTAACTAGTTTGGTTCAGTTTGACTTGATTGATTGAATTACACTATTTTTTTGAAATATTATATTTATTTGTGTATTATCTTCTATCATGTTTTTTAAAATAATATATTTAATATAATTTATTTCATCCATTTCATGTCCTACTTTTCAAACAACTTATAAGTTGTATTTAATACATACAAAGCGGTAACAAATAAAATACAACTATAATAAAAAAAATTGCAATACACATAAATAAGATGTTTCCCACCTCAAACACACATCAAAACTATTTTACAACACAACTAGAAAAAATTTTGTTCAAGAAGAAGTAAAGAATGTATAAAGAAAATATGAAAACTAACCAAGAGAACTTGTAACACGAAAAAGACGACCAAAACATAACAGAAGGTGATGGTTGATGAGAGTAATAGTTTGGTTAAAACAAGTTAGATGGAAAAAAGTGGATCACCCAAAACCTTAAGGTGATAGGTGTATGGAATGTGAAACTCCAACTCATACTTTATGTGGAAACTCTTTTGTTCATATATATTTGTAGGACCGTTAACACCTTATGGGTTAATATTGGGACAAGAGCAACACAAGTGAGAGAGACACTACATATTCACCCAAAACGTTAAGGTGATAGGTGTATGAGTTCTCCCACTTATAAATGTTCAACTCTCCACAATTATAACCAATGTGAGACTCCAACTCACACTTAATTTATTATTCTCAACATATTTTAACTTAATAGTGAGATAAATAAAAGATCAAGAAGGTAATTATGATCATCGGTTCAGTTCATCAATTTGGCAGTTTTTAAAAACTAAAACTGAAAATCAAATCAAACCACATTGATTTTCATCGATTCAGTTCGGTTTTTGAACTGAATAAAAAAATCAATCTTTTTCAAATTAATTTTGCTTGAATTTTCAATTTAATTAATTTTTTCTAATCCCCTTACACCCCTAACTCCAACTAAATTTTTTTTTTCTTGTTTTTATATATTTAGCTATAGTTGTATTTAACAATACTAAAATTTCTTCATTATTAAAGACCTAAGTCTCCTTTTATATATATATATAACACAATAAATGTGGATGCATGTATGAAAACTTTCTAAAATTATAAGTTTAGAACAATACATATGAAACATTTGGTGCATTCCCAAAGGATCTTTGATTGAGGAAAATGTCTATAATCTTGAGCTGGTTCATTAAATTTGTGCCCTTAAATATGCAGACACATATATAATGTCTTAAGCTCAAAAAACTTGTGAATGGCCATCTCTTAGTACTGCAACATATTTTAACTGTTTAAATACCCTCTTCCCTTCATTGTTGATTCACAAACATATTGAATTATTGACTGACCCACTTGTCAATCCTTTCACATACAAGAGGGAAAATTATTTTGTATTCTACCATGCCACTTGCCACATAAATTATTTTCTTCCTTCAAATATAAAACGTTTCTTTTTCACATTCATGATTTGAATAAATTGCAAAAGTTTATGAATTTCTCTTTGAATTTTAATCTATCAAGTATATGTGATAGCATTACTACATTATTGTGAGGTCATATGCACCATTTTATTTGTGGATTCATCCTGTTGTAGTTAGACTAATTTGTCTATAAATGACAAACCACAAAATAATTTAACCGATTTTAAAGTTTGCAGCAAGTAAATTCTCAACAGAAGTGATTTTGATTTGATAGAAAACCAAATACATTTGCAACAAAAAAAGATCAAATGAACATAACAACAAAAACACTCAAACTTTCTGCATTATTTGAAACCTATATATAATAACAATGACAAATTGACAATAATTGAATTTGAATTGTGTTGAAAACGACACAAACCTACTTATAAGTGCGCATGTCGCTAAAAATAGTATTACAGAAAAACTCCAACTATTTTGTAGTCGTAGACGTAGACACGATCAATCAGATTGTGTGTTTTGGTTTCGTATAATTTACTCTAATAAAATGTTTTGTCTGGTCTATTTGTTTTCTTTCCATGAGATTTGATGAATTAATCATAGAGGCAATTCATTAATGAAAGAAGGGACAATACCCGACCATAGTGAGACGAAGATCATTTTCAGATTAAGACAATGGAAAAATGTTTTACTTGCTCTTAGGATTAAGACAATAGACAATGTTTGTGTAGGTCACATGGGATGAGTCTTATGTTCATCTACCATGTAGGGTTTGTTTGTCCCTTAGAGATTGAGCATGAAGCCAAACTTGATTTTGAGTGCTTATATTAATTAAAAGGTGGCTAGCTTTATATATGAGACATGACATTTGATAGTGAGAGTGAAATTAGCAACCAAGTGGGCTATGCCTTAACTCATATGGGCTGCCCCATATTGTGGCATCATGCATTCCACCAATTTCTCCTTTTATATATATATATATATATATATATATATATATATATATATATATATATATATATATATATATATATATATATATATATATATATATATATATATATATATATATATATATATATATATATATATATATATATATATATATATTCAATCCATTGGACCATTTAGTTTGATTTGAGTCAATTCTGACATCAAGTAATTTCAGCGCCTCCCATTCATAGTTGCAGGGATCGAACCAATATTGTGTTCATTTTAATCACTATATTTTCTTATTGCTTTGACGTTGGTTTTGTAACATTTAGTTTAATTATATTAAATTAGTCATTCAATTATTTTAGGTTTAATTAGTTTTTGTAATGTATGAGACTATTAATTTTTTTATCGCTTCCAATTTACTACAAGAGCACAATCAAACTAAATTTTTGAATATACAAATTCAGCACAAAACAAAAAACACAATTTTCAGATGAATCTTTTCACTCCTTCGACACTAAGACAACTTCTAGTAAATAGAACATAAAAAAAAATGAGATAAAAGAATTGATTATTTAGAAATATCATGTTTTTAGAAGTGGAGAAAATATTTCTTTATATAGGACTTGTAATATTAGGATTTTAAAATTTTTTATAAAAAAAATTGTTTTTAAAAAGATTGGTTTTAAGAAAATGATAGAAGCGCATATTAAGTAGCGAAAAAGATGAATAACAGACAATTACATAGATAAAATAAGAGAGATTACACTATACGTTATCTTTTTCTGAGTTTAAATCACGATACCTACTCCAATTCACAAGAGTTTCCTCTTGAAATTTTCACTAACAATAACTTGAGTTTTTACACAGGTTAAGCTCAATAACCCTACACCAACAACATGAATTTTTACACAAGTTTAATCCAACAATCTTACACTCAAATTTTTACAGTGTTGGTTTTCAACCTTCCAATATACTACAAAAGCACAATCGAACTAAACTCTTGAATATATAAATTCAGCAAAAAATAGAAAAACACAACTCTCAGATGAATATTTTCACTCTCTCAGCACTAAGCTAACTTCTAGTAAATAAAACTTATTTAAATAGAAAAACACAACTCTCAGATGAATCTTTTCACTCCCTCAACACTAAGTTAACTTCTAGTAAATAAAACTTATTTAAAAAGAAGATTGAGTGAGATAAGAGAGTCGACAAGAAATACAAAATAAAACATTAAGCACGAGATAAGGTGAGCTTTCGCAGGTTCATAACTTCAAATTTTTTTCTATTAATCGGTTTACTATGTTTAGCTCCTTTAACTTGAATTTTGAACACTTTATCTTTTTCGTTTATTCTTCATTCTTCAATCATTATCATCAAATCCTTTAGAAGACATTAACATGCACAATACATAGACTCGAATCGATCTCAACAAAGATTCTTAAAATTTTGCGACAAGACACATCTTTTGTTTCAGTTTCGATTTTCATAGGACAATCCATTATTGATCCTAAAATAAGGAGAACACTCTATTTATAATATTCAATGTCTAGTTCATGCATTCACACCCAAATCGGCGCGTGATCTATATTATTTAGTACTTGAGCAAAGTATAGAGACAATTCAAAATCTTTAAGTAATGATCAAAGATTAATGAAGGTACTTGAGCAGTATTATCATATGGTTTATACAATTTCATCGAGAAATTTATCAATTCTAGCAAAATATTTATAAGTTCATATTATTTGGCTTGTAATATTATGTAATTATACATTTGTAAAAATAAATCTACTTTTACTTTACGAAAACAACTTGCTATTTAAACAACATAGATCGATCTAATTTAACCTACACTTAATTGAGTCAAATTCAAAAATTTAAGAAATTTGCTAAAATGAATTATAAATGTTATTATAATATTTTGATTAGATAAATTTTTCCTTCAAAATTAATCTAAATTAAATTGAGAATTTCAAACGGCCTATTTAGAGAAAATCATTAGACTAATTTGTATTTGGATGAAAGAGAAATAAAATTTAAATTATTTAGTTATTATGTCATATCTTTAAGCAATGTGACATTTAATCCACTCTTTAAAAAATTTTTTTCACCCAACTCAAATTCAATTATTCCATAATTATTGGAGACATGAAGTGAGTTCATAATAAAGTAATAAAGCAGTGAATAATGAAAGCAACTACTTCTTGAGATCATATAAGAAGAAAAAACACACAAAAAGTATATAAGTTTTTTATTCATCTAGATGCAATTAGTGTTTGAAGACTTTTCATACTAGATAAGTTTTTGGTGAATAAGAAATTTTCAGATTCTCATGCTGCATATAACTTTGACAAATCTTATATAATATATGCTCTCTCAAATTCTCATAACTTCAAAAACTATATATTTACAAGTGATGAATTCTAAGCTAGTGCTTTCTCCTCCACAAAAAACCTGTGATTTATGTGTGGATTTCATTATCCCTATCTTCAAACTTCAAAATATATCTATACATTGAAGCTCATAGATAGATTTGCAGGGTAATATTAAGCACTATGATTTGTGCTTTTTTTTCTACCAAAAATTGTTCTATAAGAAGAAGAAAAAAACTAATGGAACTTTAATTATGGATTGGTGGATTCTTTGATGCAGGTGTGTAGTCCATTGTATCCAACAAATCATCATTTTTCACTTGTGTTTCTGTCCCTTCATGGTTTGGCTTAAACTCACTACTATGACCCTTTTCACCTCCTTTAATCTCTCTCAAGTTTCTAGCTGCAAAACACCAAAACAAAACAAAAATACATAAATACAACAACACTTTTATTTAAAACGGATATGATACAACAAATGTAAGAACCGTTAGATTAGATTCTGATCTAACGGTTCTTATGACTGTTGTATCATACATACGACAGGGGAACTAAGCTTACCTCGAGCTGTGGTTGAGACGAAGAAAATAAACAAAAATGCAATAAGAATAAGAAGAAGACGCTTGTTTGGAGCAATAGCCATATTGAATGGTTGAAAGATTGAAGTTGCATAAGATATGGTCTAGTTGGTGTGTTTTTATAGGGAAGGAGAGTGTAGTAATTGGCAAGAGGGTGTATTTGTGAAAGACAAGAAAAAAATTTGTTGTGAATTAAGGTTCAAATCAATGTCTCCTACTTTGTCTTCCCTGAAAATGACAACACTTTTTGCTTCGAATACAGGATCCAAGTGAAGGGTTCCATTCCCTTAGTGTCCCTCAAAAAATTTGCCATTTTGCTATTAAAAATAGAGAAAGTAAAAGGGTTAGAGTAAAAGAGAAGAGGAAGAGAGAACAAAGAAACATGTTTTGAGGAGAGGTGGGGGCTGTATTCCTTGTATAGAGGAGAATTGTAACATAGGGTAGGCTGAATTTTACATTTCTATACTGACAAATAATAATGGCTTATTAGTCTTTTTATAGCCAATTTACGAGACCAAACACAAATCTAAATCTTCAGATGCGTAAATGTTAAGAGTCTCAAATCGGACAATATATGACATGAACATATGTTTATAAGTGGAGGTAATCCTCACTCTACTAACCAGTTTTGTAGGGTTGAGTTATGTTCAACTACATTTTTTATTTAAGAGTCAGCCGAACCATTTTAGTTAAAGATTTTATTTTAAAAAATTAATTTTTTAAAATAAAAATACATTTTATTTAAAAAAATTAATTTTTTAAAATAAAAATACATTTTATTTTAAAAAATTAATTTTTTAAAATAAAAATATATAATATTATGAAAACCATTTTTTAAAAAAGTCGAAATTGTACGAGTTTTTTTAGATGAATTAATATCAGTTTTTTTTCTTTAAATCTATAAAGAAATGATCAATGTATACTATATTGGTATACAAAATTAAACATAATAATATCCTCGATCAAACAATGAATAAATTATCTCTATAAATATGAAATCTAAAATAATGTTTTTTTAATTTTTTAATTTGTTGGCTTAGTTGTCAATCAATTATCAATTAAACATTTGCGAGCAGACAAGAGAAAATAAGATGTTCCTAATGTTAAATGAATCAACCAATAATTTTGAAAGGGAATGGTTTAATAGAAGGATTCAATGTGAGAATAACTCAACCATTATATAGCACTAACAATAGGCTAGAAATTAATGAACTAATTTTAAAAGCTTATTACTTATTCTAATTAATTAAAACAAAAAGTTAGTTAAAAAGTTTTGTTGACCGGACTAAATAAACTATATGGCTTCTTTGATAGCTTCAGTCTAGTTGACAAAACTACAACTATTTGCAAGATTGCTTTCCAATTAATTACAGTACCAAAAGCAGTAAAAATATATTTGAATAGAGATTTTCTAGTGTCTAAATAATCTGGATAATTAAAGTCAACAAAATATTGAAGCTTGTCAATTTTCATTTATGGTTCCATTATAAACCATAACCCTACTAAGAGATCCTTTTATATATTTTAGAATCCACTTTAAAGTATGCCCATGTGATCTCCTAGGATTTGACTTGAATCTACTGACTAAGGTATGATGTCTACATAAGGTATGATGTCTACATAAATCTTTTCTTCTTCGGTGCTTAGAGACTGATTTTCAATCAACTTCTATTGTTGAGTAACGAGAGTTATTAGACATTTCAAACCTATCGAAAACCATTTTAACTATTAGAATTTTACCTAATTCGTTCTTACAAAATTGACTTGTAACTCTTTGGAGACTCTATGTCTAATCAATGAGAGACTTAGGGTCTTCTCAATATTGAGATACAACTCTTGATATAAGTACAATATATTATTTATGTTGTTTTTGTTGATTTCAATTCCTATGATCCTTTTTGCATCTTCAAATCTCTCATTTTAAATTCTTATTTAGTTTTGATTTCACCATTTTGATTTCTTCATCTTGATTGCTTATTATGAGAATGTCATCCGCATACAGTAACAAAATCACAAAATAATTTCAAGGGAGGAATTTGAATTAAACACGACAATCAAATTCTTTGGAAATCTATGTGAGCCATAAATTTGTCAAACCTCTTATCTCACTCTCTAAAATACTACTTTAGACCATAGAGAGACCTATTTAGTTTGCACACATAATCTTCCTTCCCTTTGACTTCATAACCTTCAGGTTGTTTCATCAAAATTGTTTAATCTATATCACGATATAGAAAAGCAATTTTAACATACATATGTTCTAACTCTATACCAAAGTTTTCATCTGTGACAAGGAGGATTCTAATGGATATGTGTTGAACAATATGTAATAATACATCATTGAAATATATCCCTTCCTTATGAGTGAAATCCCTAGCAACAAGTCTAGCTTTGAATATTCTTACTTCCACTCCTTTAATACCATCCTTTACATTGCAAATCCATTTACAATTAACTAATATGGAGCATACATACCCTTTGATCAGATTCAAAGTATTGTTAATGAATATTCTATTTATATCCCTTGCTGGTAGGTAATCATCACCTACTTGTGCTTCATCATCAATTTCCTCAACTTCAGTTTCTTTCTGCTCAGGTGATAAAACTCCAAACCGATCTTGTACTTCACCTTCACTTGGCTCCACCTCAATATGAACTCTCTTTAGATCAGATTCTTTATCTTGAGCAATTGATTGGGAATTAACAACAGCATTTGCCTTAACATCCATCTTAGTTTCATCGCGACTAGTGATGCACCTCCTATGTCTTATTTTAAACACCACAAATTGTAAGCTTTACCCTTTCAAATATCCAAGGAATATACTTCTTACGACCCTTGATTTTAACTTGTCTTACCTAATGTGAGCATAAGCAACACAACCAAAATCTTAAGTCTTTCCAAATTCGGAGAATACCCTAACCAAAATTCTTCAAGTTTCTTCATACCCAAGCAAGTTGAAGGACACACATTTATTAGGTATGTTGCAGTGATAACAATCTCACTCCAAAATACTTCTTTCAAACCAACACTCAATAACATGCATCTCACTCTTTTCAAAATTGTCCTTTTGAATCTTTTAGCAGGACCACTATGTTAAGGAGTTTATGTAGTTCTCTTGTGTTTTTATATAGTATTCATGGTGCAATAACTATTAAAAACATCAGAGAAAATTCAAGGTCATTATCAGTTCTGAACCTCTTAACCTTCCAACTACTTTTATTTTTAACAAGAGTCTTCCAACTTTTGAAATATCTTGCACCAGAGTGTGATGAAGTCATTGACGATATCCAAATATCACCATGGACATAGTTAAGAGAACCTTATGTTCTACGTTGAACTTTACTTTGCAAGATTTGCCAAATGCACAAGGTTCATAAAATGTCATCTTCTTAACCCTAACACCACATAACAGGTTTTGCTTCCTAATTCAATTAGGCCCTTTTCAATGCATTGGCCAAGTCTCATGTGCCATAATTCATTCTTTGTCAAGGATTTTGTAGATAATGTAGCTACTAAACCAGTAACAGTTTCAGCTTCAAGACAATACAACAAATTTCTTGTAATGCCTCTCATGAATTTCTTTGATCCCTTCATGAATTTTAGAACACCTTGTTCATTTTTGAAAACATTTTTTTCTTATCAAGTTCACCAAGAGAAATTAAATTTCACTTAAGATCAGGTAGATACATACCTAACACTAGTGAGAAGTTTCACAATATCATCATGAAACTTTAATCTTATAAATCTAATACCATAAATCATACATGCTTTGTTATTTCCCAGCAACACTAATCCTCCATCTTAATCACACAACTCCTCAAACAATGACTTGTTTGGAGTCAAATGTCAAGTACACCTAGAACCCATGACCCACTCTTTATCAAAGTTGTTGCTAGAGGCTACCAATGCATCAGATGATTCATAACCATCTTAGACAATAGTTGCATTACCATTATCCTTCTTCTCACCATTGTTTTTCTTTTTATCATGAAACATTTTCCTTCTTAAAATAATAGCACCTTATAGAAGAGACATCATCACCATGAATCTTTTGTTGTGATTTACCTTTGTTTTTTATCATTCTTGCCATCTTTTTTTGAGTATTTTTCTTTCATGGACAACCTTTTAACCATAACTAAAGACTTATGCTTCTTTATCTCACTCAAACCTTTAGAATGCATAACAACTTACACCTCTTCAAAACTCAAGGATTATCTTCGATACAACATAATTTTTTTGAAGTGTGTATGTGACTTTGGTAAAGCACATAACATCAACAAGGTTTAGTCCTCATAATCAATATTAATGTCAATATTTTCCAATTCAAAAGTTAATTTGTTAAACATACCCAACTATTCTATTAAAGATTTATCTTCATTCATCTTGCAGATAAAGACAATTTACCAAGGATTTCATCATGTATTAACCTTTAAGCTTGACCTAAGCCCATGCAACAATCGTTTTCTTTGAAACTTGCTTAATAACCTTATCATCGAGGCTCAAGATAATTGTACTATAGGATTTCTTTATCATCGTTGTTTTCTCCTTCTATATTAATGCTACATCCATCTTATTTGAACCTTTCAACACTTCTAGTAAACCATTTTGAACAAGAGTTTGCATCTTCAAACACCATAAACCAAAATCATTCAACACAATGAATGTCTCAATCTCAAGTTTTGTTAAAGGCGTGAATGATCAACACTCACCACATCAATTTATTAACATTTTAAACAGAAAAACACATTCAAAAAATGAATATTGATGATCGGTTGACATAAATTAAAGAAAAAAAAGAAGAATGTAATACTAATAAATACGGAAAATTAGTTTAAGCTTGAAAAAGGTGCTCCAAACTTTCCAATTTTTTATTCATTTTCTTAAATTGATTACACGTGAAATTAAATTGCAAGATTCAATGTGAGAATGAATCAACTATTGTGTAATACTTACAATAGACTCGAAACTAACTAACTAATTTTGAAAACTAATTAGTTACTCTAACTAACTCAAACAAACAAACAAAAGTTAGTCAAAAAATTTAGTTGACTAGATCAAATAAAC